ATTAAGAAGAAAATGACGGCCAGAAGTCGAAGTGGAACCTCGTCGAAATTCTAAATTATATTAAAGAAGGCGCCATCTTTATTTACACACGATTAACCAATTATACCTGTAGAATTCTGCACACTTGCAACACTGTATTTTGCTGCGTGACAAGTTGGTCACAAACGTGGTAATACGCGCAATAATGTATTTCAACTTACAATTCAACAATGTTGTGAGACAAGTTGAAGAAAAATGTTGGCCGTATAACCGGACCTTTAAGCTCCTTTTCAAATTCCTCTGTCGTGTTGTGGACGGGGCCTTAACGAGCAGTACAATGGTTCTGCACGTGCGTTTTGAATCTTTGTACATTTCAAACCTGTCATCTGCTAAACAGCAATGCGAAATGACAAGTTCTGAGTATTTTGGAGAACGTACACCGCAATGGCTATTTTTTTTTTAACTTTTTTTTTTTTTTTTCGGATCTTCCTTTGGAATTTAGTGCTGTCATTACATATTTAGGCTGAACAAGATTTTAGACCGATAGGCGTTCTGAGCAGATCTACATAGTTGCGACATTCGAAGGCGGAATATAAATTCATTTTTTACGAGGCGTTGTCTTTGGTTTCGCCGTCTTCACTGCTAAGGAAATCGAAAATAGCAGATGCTGGGGGTTAAAACAGTTTACAGTAGTTTTCGTACCCAGTCCCTACTCTGTGTTATCTTCAAAGCGTGTAATTGCTCTGTTACTAAATTATTTTACAGATCACAGTTCTCGCGCCGAAAACAAAGAAAAGGCAAGCTCTCCTTTTTTTGTCACAGAAACATATGAATGTAAGTCCAGTCCATGTCTGAACGGTGGAAACTGGGCGCGTGGACGGACTCTACAATTTTACCTGTGTTTGTTCAAGCGCATTCATTGGGAAGCGTTGTGAAGGTAGGATCACTTCGCGTGATTTCATCATTGGGAAGTTACCCAGAATGTTACAAAAGAAGTCTTCAAGTTTAATAGAGCATTGGTAAGGTTACTTGAAAATTTAAGTTTAAACGATTCCGGATCAAAAATAACAAAGGTTTTACTATAACATCTCTCCAAATTTCTACCGGAGATTTTTCTCCAGGATTAGATTGGTGCCAACATCAATACAAGGCACACGCCAGCACTGATGCTGTCATTTTGCCATTCAGGTGTCTCCAGAATATCATGTAAAAATCTTCTGGACGCCGGGTACACCCCGAGTGGATCATACTCTTTGAACGTCAATGGTAATTCATTTTAGGTAGGCTTCCAGGTTAGCCGACTAAACATGTATACTTTCCTCCTATCCAGGACGAGACAGGTTTCATTTAAAATATGGTCATTTGCATTTGGTTGGCAAATGACCATAATCGCAAATTAAGTTACTCAGAAGTTCAGGTTTTGACCACTTTCTTTTATTTAGAACTCATTTTTTCAGACAAACTGGCGTGCGTACGTCTCGATACCGCAAAAGAGGGAATAGGATTCAAAGTAGTATCTTCTAAGGGGACAGTTATCATTAAGACTGATCCCCTCAGTGTGACATATGTCAGTGACTTGTACTGACTGTCAGGGTTCGGCAAATGAACACGTATTGATAAAATTAAGAACTTGAAGAAACATATGGCTACCGACTACCGAAATTTTGATACATTTTGAAATGTTCAAAGAAAATGCTATTTATAAACTTCTGAAGTAGCCTTGAAACGATCATGGCCATTCTATTTCCATTTTAACGCAGTTACCCCTCATTAAATTGCAGTAGTCAAAGTGAGATTGAACAAAAGCATTGTATTTGCTGAGAAGTGTAGATCGTGGAACAAATGGTTTAATTCGTTTCGTGAATCCAATTCTGGAGGCGATTTTTTTAACTAACATTATAACGAGACAAAAAGTAAAGCTGTTTTCTCAATAAATACTATAACAAGACGATCATCATGGTTTCATTAATAATCAACATTTTTTGGTCTTCTTAGGTGTATTGTGACATGTCCTCTAATGGTGGTGGTTGGACTCTCATCTCACGTTTCTCAAATGCTGAGAGTGCAAACTGGATGCAGTCTAGCGGCAGCTGGTGGTATGACCGCACATCTTCATACGGCAGCGTTACCAGTCCATCAAATAACTACGACATGATATCACCGGCATTCTGGCTTGTCACTGGCAACTACATCAAAATAACCCGGAGTGATGACAGCTCTAACACAGCCTTGTTATACACCAGCAGCTGTACTGGCGGGAAAACCTTCAGAAGCTTTATAACAAGTTACGGAAACTTTCGGTCTGGTGCTGTTTGGAACAGTAACGCATGTCGTAGAAGCTGTTACATCTCCGGTTATGGTGGCAGCTACTCATCCACAGTGGGTTTCAGTCAAATGCACTGCAGCAGCAATCTTCAGAGTAGACGTTACCTGTCATTCTGGTGTGACTGGAGCAGTGGTGACGGAGCCGTGATGATGATTGGTGGAGGAGGTGATTACTGCAAGAGGGCAGATCATGGGATTGGTATCACAGAAGCTGGTGCGGCCCGTTTCGGCACAGGGAACTGCGATGGAGACTTTGGTGATAACTGCAACTATCCTACGAGTTATTCTCTCAATCTGTGGATTAAGTAGTTTATGTTGGGGATATATTGTGCTTTCTATACGTTCGAAAACGCTAAGGAATCTTTTGCAACCATATTTTGAAATGTAGCCATAAGGGATATTTTAAGGCAATATTTTATTATCATATTATCATACGAAAGATAATCAAACAAACTAATCTTTAAAAACGTCGTCCAGACGTTGGTACACGTAGCAAATTCTTCTGATTAATCATTAGAAGTCAGTTGAAAGCGACAGCTGAGTCTGTGTTATCTTCCGTTGGTGGTATTTCGAACTTTTCTCGGTATGATATTTGGGCATTTTTTAAGGCTAGTGATTACTAGTTATTTCCAGTGATGGGAATATTTTACTAGAAAATAAGGCATCGGGCGTTAAACCTTATAAATGCTGCAATTTCTTAGTTTTCTGATTATTTTGAAGATCTATAAAAACAGACGTCTTAACGTATTTGTAAATCTGCATGGGGATTCATTTCTGATCTCTAGTTCGACTTCTCTAGTAATCTCACATATATCTCCAGAACGGTTTACTTTAAGCATTTTGTGATCTCGCTCTTTTCACACAAAATACCCTTCTTAGTTCAGTTACGTTTCTTATCGATCTGGGAAGTCAAGGACTGTAGTTTGTTGAAGATCCAATGCATTTACATTGCTTCCCTGTAATTCATGTATTTCAGATGCACCTGTTATCAAAGCAGCCAGCTCAATATAATTTACAGTTTTATTTTTGTTGTTTAGCTAGAAGTCTCTGGACAGTTAAAATTATTTTTCGAAACTCTTTGAATGTCATTTCTCTTAAGTCTCCCTCTAGAGAACAGTAATAAATCTTTACGATGCCAAAGAGCTGCCTGTTTATCTTAATATATAAGACTTTTTGCTAGCTGAGGAAGAAGTGGGGTCGGGGCTACGGTACGTGGTTGAAAAATTTACGCTTTTGGCTCTATACTTCTCAACCGACTTGCTGACGGAACAAACATGGCGACAGAAACACGAGCATCATACAAGCATTTGTTAACTAAATGTGGAGCTATATGAAGATTTTCAATTGAATCCCGATACTTTAAATTAAACTATCTGTTCTGTCGTAAAATTTAGTCCGCACGTAAACTGCCGTTTCTGATGTTGTGGTTGAGCCCGCCAGTGGGAGGATGACAATAATAGAGTCGAACCTCCCTCATGCGTACAACCACATGCACAGGACCAGGAAAAGTGTCCACTTAAGAGAGGCGTCTGCTTATGGGAAGTAAAAAAAAGTGTCTGTACGTGGCTAAAACCATTTCTAAGTTTCCTCTTATGGGAGGTGTCCGTTAGCGGAGGCTCGACTACACAGTGACGGTAGTTGTAAACATTTTAAGGTGGCAGCCGCACAAACAAAGAACTGAATGAAAATGTACACTCGTAGATTGTTTTCTTATTTAAGTAAGGGCACGCACAGATCTGGTTAAGAACGATGAGAGTGTAAAGGAAAACACCCTGCAATCACTTCATTTCAGCAGTACTACGAAAACGTGAATTCTCCCAGACTCTTCAAAACTAAATACAATATCTTCTTTAGTTAATGTCGGAGAATCTGTGTTTTTAAGCAAAAGTAGTCAGAACCCCCCCTGAAGTATAAAAGACATGATGGAAAAGAAAGGATGAAGGTTAACACAGTTCATGTCCCAGGCCCAAGATATAGTCTGCAGGTTATCCCTCTTAAGGTACTTTTGGAAATGATATCCAGTCGTTTGGCGGATACTATTACCACGCACATTGGTTTGATGTTTTCGCAGAGGATGAAAAGAGAGTAAAACTACCTGGGCTGTCCACCTGATAAAAAATTGCCCCATGGAATTGGCTATTTCTAGACCCTCCAGGACACTGGGATTGATCAAAAATATCGCTAGAGGGATTACGTTGACAATAAGGTCAAAATGGGGATTAACTCTCTTACCTCTTTATCCTCTCGTGATAATGAACAAATGCCGTTGAAGGTAAACCTGGGGTCATGTTGTTTAGC